GGCCGGATTTTAAAAAAATTTTTTTAAATTTATCTATACCCAGATAGCACAATACTTTGTAGGAACTTAGCAGGAAACTATCCGCGTTAAGTTCCGAACTTAACGCGGTTAAGTTCCTGCTAAGTTCCCTGAACTTTTAAATGTCCTCCGGTTTAAACTTAATGGTGTTAGCTTCCTGGAAATTATCGATATAAATTTGCTGAAAAATTGCAATGTAACTTTTGTGAAAAATAGAAATTTAAGTTTAAAGAAAGTTTTCTGTGTAACTTTCCATAAAACTAGCTCTTCTAAGTTCCCTAAAAAATGATAAGCAATTTTCCCCAAAAATAGAAATGTAAGTTTTCAGGAAACGTAATTGATTAAGTTAAAGAATATAATATATGCTATTATATAATTATAAAATTGTACACTTGGAAAATTAATATGTATTTATTACTTATTAATACAATAACAATAACAATAATAATAATAATAATAATAATAATAATAATAATGAATTTATTATAATTATTTTTTTGTTGACAAAATTAGTTATTAATAATAAACACCATTATTAATTCCAATGGAAAAATAATTTTAAAAAATTATTTTACAACTTGCTCTTATCTATTTAATTTATTACTACCTGAATTAAGTTTAGATTTCTAACAACAATTTATTGCGAAACAAATGTTTTTTTAAAATAAAATTTGGGGGAAGTGGGAATTGAACCCTAGTTTGCAGAATAGAAATCGAGAACCTAACCACTAACCTAAACGACCATCTGAATACAGGAAACAAAAATCTTCCACGCTTGATGCGCATACCAAGCAGATTGCGCGGGAAAATTTGAAAATGATTTCATTCAATGTAACACGAATAACTTTGTATATAGTTACTTAATATTTATTATATGATTTGTTAATTAAAACTTCATAATATAAATTAATTTTAAAACATTTCTATAAACAAAATTAGAAAATAATTAATTTATTATCTTTACATTTTTTTTAAATACAGATTTTTTTCTGTAGAAATTTTTTCAAAAAAAAGTTTGAAAATTTATTTATTTAAATTTATATCTTTTACGAAGAATAAAATTAAATAATAATAATATAAATAATTAAATTAAATAATTGTTACTAAATATTATTGGTTAATTAAAACTTTATAAATTAATTTAAATAATTTAATTAACTATAAATAAATTAATTTAATTGAATAATTATTTATCTAATTATTAATTCATTTTTAATATAAAACTAATAATAATTATTATACAATTAATTATATTAAATTAATAAATTAAATTAATTTTAAATTAAAACGATACTAAATTAAAATACTATTTTAAATTTATAATTATGCAAATTACAAAACTTTTTATTTTCAAATATTGACTTTAATTTCAATAATTTCACATTAAAAATTTAAAAGAATTCACTTACTTAATAAGTAATTATTATTATTTACCATTTTCAAAAATTGTAATAAAATTACTGTAAAGAATTTCGATTTTTTAAATTTTAATTATATTCATTTAAAATTTGTTCACAGCAATAATGACTAAACTAAATAAATTTAATTTTAGGGTGGTCACAAGTTTCAGTTTATCCCTGGCAAAATTCTTTTTACAGAAAAATATGAAAGTTTATGGAAAATGAGTAAAATTTATGAATTTTAATGATTTCTAAAAATTAGAATTATAACCCTTCCTGAAGTGAATCATTTTCTACAATCTTTAACTAAACCTTATCTCTAAATAAATTATTTTTTATATAATGTTCCGAAAGTTCTTCTAGAATTCAAATCTAATATTTAGTTTAGTCATTATTGCTGTGAACAAATTTTAAATGAATATAATTAAAATTTAAAAAATCGAAATTCTTTACAGTAATTTTATTACAATTTTTGAAAATGGTAAATAATAATAATTACTTATTAAGTAAGTGAATTCTTTTAAATTTTTAATGTGAAATTATTGAAATTAAAGTCAATATTTGAAAATAAAAAGTTTTGTAATTTGCATAATTATAAATTTAAAATAGTATTTTAATTTAGTATCGTTTTAATTTAAAATTAATTTAATTTATTAATTTAATATAATTAATTGTATAATAATTATTATTAGTTTTATATTAAAAATGAATTAATAATTAGATAAATAATTATTCAATTAAATTAATTTATTTATAGTTAATTAAATTATTTAAATTAATTTATAAAGTTTTAATTAACCAATAATATTTAGTAACAATTATTTATATTATTATTATTTAATTTTATTCTTCGTAAAAGATATAAATTTAAATAAATAAATTTTCAAACTTTTTTTTGAAAAAATTTCTACAGAAAAAAATCTGTATTTAAAAAAAATGTAAAGATAATAAATTAATTATTTTCTAATTTTGTTTATAGAAATGTTTTAAAATTAATTTATATTATGAAGTTTTAATTAACAAATCATATAATAAATATTAAGTAACTATATACAAAGTTATTCGTGTTACATTGAATGAAATCATTTTCAAATTTTCCCGCGCAATCTGCTTGGTATGCGCATCAAGCGTGGAAGATTTTTGTTTCCTGTATTCAGATGGTCGTTTAGGTTAGTGGTTAGGTTCTCGATTTCTATTCTGCAAACTAGGGTTCAATTCCCACTTCCCCCAAATTTTATTTTAAAAAAACATTTGTTTCGCAATAAATTGTTGTTAGAAATCTAAACTTAATTCAGGTAGTAATAAATTAAATAGATAAGAGCAAGTTGTAAAATAATTTTTTAAAATAATTTTTCCATTGGAATTAATAATGGTGTTTATTATTAATAATTAATTTTGTCAACAAAAAAATAATTATAATAAATTCATTATTATTATTGTTATTGTATTAATAAGTAATAAATACATATTAATTTTCCAAGTGTACAATTTTATAATTATATAATAGCATATATTATATTCTTTAACTTAATCAATTACGTTTCCTGAAAACTTACATTTCTATTTTTGGGGAAAATTGCTTATCATTTTTTAGGGAACTTAGAAGAGCTAGTTTTATGGAAAGTTACACAGAAAACTTTCTTTAAACTTAAATTTCTATTTTTCACAAAAGTTACATTGCAATTTTTCAGCAAATTTATATCGATAATTTCCAGGAAGCTAACACCGTTAAGTTTAAACCGGAGGACATTTAAAAGTTCAGGGAACTTAGCAGGAACTTAACCGCGTTAAGTTCGGAACTTAACGCGGATAGTTTCCTGCTAAGTTCCTACAAAGTATTGTGCTATCTGGGTACCTTATAATATAGAGGAGAGTTTCCAAAAAGTCCCGAAATGGGCCTGATGTGTTAAATGAGTTTTAAAACATTTTCAAAAATCACTTGCAAGCATCACATGGGATATTTTTACAATTAACTTTTTAGAACTGTCTGCAGCGTATAAATGTTAATCTATTTGTGTTCTTTGTTTTAAATTAAAGGGTCTACGCTGTAGACAATTTTAAAAAGTTAATTGTAAAAAAATCCCACTGTCGACTAAAATCTCACGTGGAATTTCCCATAGGGTAATGTCACCTTGAGTGGACCGCCTGAGCTTTTAAGTTATCTGACAGCGGAAACGTGAAATAAATAGTGCGAATAGCAGCACCGCACCTAGAAACCGTAAGAAATTAAGTTCCGCGATAATCATATACGTTACCGTTTGATGTAACGCATTTTTGAGAACACAAACCAAAAAAGAAGTCGCTCTTTCAATGAGTAAAGTGATTTGGAAGTGTAAAAGTAGTGTAAAATTTAAGTTTTAAAAGGTAACTTATTTTTTTCCTACTACTTTGGACATTGAAATTGATTGTCTTAGTTTAATTTAGTGATAATTTTGACTAAAAAAATTGTGATGGCTGCCATAAAAAGTTGTTTGTCACCAATGAGTGGACCACTGTTTATAACCATGAGTGGACTGCCTGTTTTTTCCATTTTTAATGTCACATTTTTTAGATATAAATTGACAATAAATTAGTTTAAAACTATGATTTATGTTCTTTATTAATTTTTTTGTGATATTGATGTGATATGTGACAAAATTATTAAAAATGGTTTCACTTGTAAACATTGCAACACATACATGGTCTGAAGCTGCATAAGCATAAATTTTGTTTCAATATATCAGAAATATTAAATACATTAAAGAATTTAGTATAACTTTTACAATTTTTTAGGAGTGGTCCACTCAAGGTTACACTTTTTTCATTCCTTAAAAATTAGCTTTTTTTAAAAGTCAATTGTTTTTTCCAATAAAAAAAAATCAAAGCTATTATGGCATAAACACTTATCTAGGGATTTAAACTAAAGCTTGAAATAGAAACCTCCGATTAATTTGCTTTCATAAAGAATTTTTTAGAAAAAAAGCGTAGGCGGTCCACTCAAGGTGATATTACGCTATATATGTTTTTTTCGAAAAAAGAATCAGCTACGATTTTCGGAAATGAAAATTTGGAATCTTGGGACGATTCCAAATAAAACTGCGTTAGCACAATTTTGACTCATTTTAGGTAAACCTAAAAGTGCTTGAACACCACCGTGTGTTCCTGTACATGATCTTGTACAAGATTTTTCAGCTGGGCAGAACCGGCACTGCTTATCTACTCAGTAGTATATACAGCTGATAATTGACAAACGGAAAATAGGAAAATACTTAGAACCTTTTGGAGGTGATATAAGGTTCAACGTTCAAGAACTACCAATTTTTTTCCAGTGTAGTTTTATGTATAAAATGATCTTTTATTTGACTCGGACTGGTCATATTTTTCTCCATAAATAGTCCGTAATTTTTCATTTTTGGTTCCTAATTTAAGTACTTTTACTGGTTCAAGCCTTATCACCCGTATGTTTACTTAAATATTGAATTTATAACGAATCGTTTGCAAATTCGTCGTATATTTGATTTTGTTAGTCAGCCAAGCATGTTATATTCAGAAAGTCTATGTGCAATTCATTAATAAATTTATAATTTCTTGTCACTGTAATAGGGTCATTCTTTCTTCAAAGTAATATTATGTCTCGTCAAACGGAATATTTTAAGGAAATGGAAGATTCAATGAATATAGAAGTGTGGAAGTTTCACAGTAAAGTATTTAAGAAAGTAGAAAAATATTTCAATAATGTTGGAGCTTATGTACGACCACAAAAAATAATCAACGCTGTATTATATGCTGTTTTTAAGGATGCACTGTTAGACAAGTACCCATCTCCATTTTATGAGTAAGTTGAAAAAACTGTTTGCATTTTATTTTTATGTATAATTAGCCAGTGTTCAATAAATTGATAACTTTAAAATAACTTTAGGATTTGAGAAAGGTTTTATCGAGGAATTATAATTGCATATGAGGCATTTTACGTGAAATGTCCTAAGTTGAAAAAAATTGAAACTCGAGGAATTTGTTGTTCTATCAAGTAGAAATGTGACCCAAAAAATATTTTTGATTTTTTCGAAAAATTGGAGGGGGTAGAGGGGGGTCAATTTGACCAATTTTGCCAACATCGGCTACTTTGTGAATTTTTTCTGAACATACTTGTAATGGGAAAAATTTTTTAGAATATGTTTCGGAAAGGTTTTTTCGTCCTCTTTCTAATGGCGTATTTTATTTTTTAATATTTTACAGATTTACCCTAATTTTTTATAGTTAATATTTAATTTTCAATTTCCCAAAAATCAGTCCGTTTTTTTTGAAAATAAATTATTGCAAACGAAAGCTGAGGTTTTTTCCTATCGGCATGTAAATTTTCAGAATGCCCTTTTCTTTTGTTTTTGAGTTATTAAATTTCAAAGAATAAATTGCAGCGCGCTGCGTCGCGGTTGCACTGAGCCGCGTGGCAACCGGCGTGAGACGAGGCGCCCGGGACGCAATTTATTCTTTGAAATTTAATAACTCAAAAATAAAAGAAAAGGGCATTCTGAAAATTTACATGCCGATAGGAAAAAACCTCAGCTTTCGTTTGCAATAATTTATTAAAAAAAAAACGGACTGATTTTTGGGAAATTGAAAATTAAATATTAACTATAAAAAATTAGGGTAAATCTGTAAAATATTAAAAAATAAAATACACCATTGGAAAGAGGACGAAAAAACCTTTCAGAAACATATTCTAAAAAATTTTTCCCATTACAAGTATGTTCAGAAAAAATTCACAAAGTAGCCGATGTTGGCAAAATTGGTCAAATTGACCCCCCTCTACCCCCTCCAATTTTTCGAAAAAATCAAAAATATTTTTTGGGTTACATTTCTACTTGATAGAACAACAAATTCCTCAAGTTTCAATTTTTTTCAAGAAGTTGAAATTTAAACTTAGGGGCTGTCCATATATTACGTAAGACATTTAGGGGGAGGGGGGATCAGCAAGATCTTACGAACAATAGGAAAAATGGCGCTAATGTATGTAAAATATCTTTCGAGGGGGGAGGGGGGGGGGTCAAATTTACCCAAAAAATGTCTTACGTAATTTATGGACAGCCCCTTAGGACATTTTTTACTCTTAAACAATTAAACATAAAAATTTGCCCGAGTACAGTTTCGAAAGGTTTTTTCATGCCCTTTCGATTGGAAACAAGCATTTTGAAAAAAAAAAAATTTTGACAAAAAAAATGAAAATTAAAAATAAATTTTAATTTTTCGGGGGGAAGGATACGATTTTTTTTTAAATGAAAGCTGAGGTTTTTTTTCTTTAATGACATATATATGCAAAAGTGGGACTAGAATGTTTAAACATTGAAAAAAAGAGATTTCTACCAAACGGAGCCAAAAACCGGATTTTGAGCCCTCCGGTCAGTAGAAATCTGTTTTTTCAATGTTTAAAAATTCTAGTCCAACTTTTGCATATATATCTCCTTTTAGGAAAAAACCTCAGCTTTCGTTTAAAAAAAAAAAAAAATCGTATCCTTCCCCCCAAAAAAATTAAAATTTAATTTTGATTTTTTTAGGTCAAAAAATTTTTTTTTTTAAATGCTTATTTCCAATCGAAAGAGCATGAAAAACCTTTCGAAACTGTACTCGGACAAGTTTTCATGTTTAATTGTTTAAGAGTAAATGATTCACTTTTGTATAATGAAAACATCATCCAAATTGCAGAATTTTTGTGTTTTTTGTTTGAAAGTTACCATTTTTTAAAATTTACATTGTCTTTTATGGAAAATAATGATTTAGGATGTTTAATACTTTTAAAAAATATTAATACAGTTGTTTTCTTTTGAAAAAATGTATTAGTAGTGTTTATAGGTTTAATATTTAACCCATTAATGCCTATAGATATACTAATAAATACTGACGCAAACCAACTATTTGATTTAGGACATTAGGTCAAAATCGTGAAGAAACACATTTAAAATATTTTTTTAAAAATTTGTTTAAACAATTTTTTTGTTTATTTATAATTTTATAGACAAAAAATTTTTTTATCGCAGTACAATAAACGGAACTGTTATTGGTGTTACAAACCAAAAATAGTATATTTCGATACAAGGGACAAAACGAGAAATGGGCATACGCTCGTGCGGCACCGTGTATCGAACTATATTTTTCTTAATAAGTGCAGGCATAACCTCCTTTGGTAAGCACTAGCAACAGTTCAATATGGCTGATAGTCTTACTATTATATTTTTAGTTTAATTACAAGGTACTGTAGAACGATTTCTTTGTTTAGAAGCATTTATTTGTAATTTGCATCTTTCAGATAGGATAAGATTTGCTACAGTCTGTTGAATGACGAAAACCAACATAGAAAGAATAATAGTAAAAAGAGTGGTGCTGAACACTATAGAAAGTTACTAATACAAACCAGTGCGCCACCTGATGGACCCTACATCCAATCAATTCAAAATTGATTAACATGATAAAACTTTTACTTTAACACTTTCCCTTGTTAATAAAATTTTTAATTTATAAACTACAAATGGTTTTCTTTTTGTTCAAACACTAAGGCCCATTTTCACACACAACATCTTCAGGCGAGTTTTTGGCAGTGGCTTAGTCATAATATCTGCAAGTTTTTCCTCTGTAGAAACTTGACTAACTGCTAGTTTTCCCTTTGTCACTTTTTCACGAATAAAGAAATGCTTGATTGAGATGTGTTTCTAACTCGTTTTGCTGCAATTATTTCTGCCTCAGTAGTTGAAGTAGCCACCACTGTCTGCCGCTGACTGAGCCAAGAAATTGCTCTTCCAGCGTAATTGACTACGACTCCAGAAGTTGATCGACCTGTCTTTAGTCATCCACTAAAATCAGCATCACCGTAAACTTTACATGTGTAACATCTTCTTAAGAATGATTTTCAAATGATCTTGATAACAATCCAACACTGTATGCAAGGTCTGGTCTCGTACCAAGCATTAGGTACATCAGTGCCCCAACTGCTTGTCTGTAAGGAAAATTTAATACCTTATTGTCATTATCTTTCCCTGAAGAAGTAACATCTTCTCCTTTGAGCATTGGAGTTGAAATCGGCTTGCAATCTGAAAAATTAAAATTCTTTTTGCATATGTTGTTTGATCAATTTTAATCACATGATTTTTCTGATGAATTTCAAGTCCCAAATAGTAAGTTGCTTTTCTTGAAGTCAATTTAAATTCAGATTCCAATTCCCCAATGAAAACTTCCATTTCCTTCTCATTTGTTGCTGCAACGAGTCCGTCGTCCACGTAGATTACTAGTATGAGCATTTTTCTGTCTTTTTCTCGAACATACAAGCAAGAATCGTTGAATCGTTTACAAGCGGCATCGTTGACTTTGAACCCTATAGTCTTCTTAGATAGTCACCAAAGCGTTTATTCCAGCATCTCGGTGCTTTTTGGAGTCCGTAAATGCTCCTGTTGAGTTGACAAACTCTGTCAGTGCCATCGCCATAAACTTGGGGTTGTCTCATAAAAACAGTTTCTTCAAGTTTACCATATAGGAAGGCTGTTGATACATCAAATTGTAGTAAATGCATTTTCTCAGATGCTGCAATACTGAGAACTGATCGAATTGTTCCCAATCTTGCTACTGGACTAAAAGTTTCACCATAATAAATACCAGGACGTTAACTGAAACCTTTGAGAACAACTCGAGCCTTATACTTGTCAACACTGCCGTCTGGGTTCTTTTTTAGTCGAAAAATCCACTTGCATGGACTTACTTTTGCACCTGATGGCAAGTCCGTTAAATTCCAGGTTTGATTTTGATGCAGCGAAACCATTTCTTGATCCATGGCTTTGATCCATTCATCTTTATCTTTTCTTGTCAAGATATTTTCGTAAGTTTCAGGATCCTCTACGGAATTGACAAACTCTACACCCATTAGGACATGATCTTGTAAATGTTTAGATTTTTTAATGGTGGTTCTATCTCTCAAAGCTGTCGTAGGTGGCAAATTCACAGTTTCATCTTTCTCTTCATTTGATGATTCACCTCCAGTCTCGTACTCTTCGTCACTACTCAATGTTTCTTTTGACACTTTTTTTTTCATCTCCATCAGTATTTGAATTTTTTTCCTCTTCTAGAACCTTGTCTTGATCTTCAATTTCAATCTTTTTTATTGGCAATTTGACTTTCTCTTCGCATTCTCTTGGTCGCTCTTGAGACTGGATATCTCTTGATACAATTACTTTTCGTTCTTCTTAAATATAGATTCTGTAACGCTCGTCTCCGTCATATCCTACCAAGAAGCCTTTTATAGCTTTCTTTATCCATTTTCTTCCGTTTCTCAGCTGGAATGTGAACATAGCAAGTAGATCCAATTATAAGTATATGTTTTATTCTTGGTTTTTTGCCCATCCACAGTTCATAGGGACTGATACCCTCTTTTGAAGACTTTGCTGTTCTGTTTAATATGTAGATTGATGTCATCACGAGTTCCGCCCATATCGCCTCTGGAAATGCGACATCTTGATTTGAGTATTTAAATGTCCTCGCCATTTCGATGATTGTGCGATTTTCGCGTTCACTTCCGCCGTTTTGTTCTGGCGTGTATGGAGCTGTCAACCTTTGTGTGATTCCGCATCTTCTGTAAGAATTTTCCTTACCTCTGCACAATCGAATTCTCCGCCATTGTCACTCAAAATTTCCTTAATTTTGTGCCCTAGCGTTTCAGATTGTGCTAAAAACTGTTTCAACACTATTTTAACGTCCGATTTTTGTTTAATTACAAAGCCATACCGAAATTTTGTATAGCTATCCTTAAACACAACTAAATATTTCTTTTTACTAAAAGACTCTGAAAAAGGTCCTACC